TGGTCACACCCATTCTATGTCGATACACCGTCTTTCAAGTAGAATTAAATGTCAATATAGCGTTGCTTGGAATAGGTGTAAGGTCACCTAACTCGAGCCAGAACGGCATTTTTCGTTGCTGTTATGTCAATAAAACACACAGACACATAATTTATTATTCACAAGGGTTGGAATGTAAATCAACGTTTGCACTGCTTTGAGCTTGTGGACGTTTTAACACTTTTGGCTGATTTTGTGAGAAATATTCTTAAAATATAGGCATAGAAAAAAAAGTTAAGTCCTCAGGAATGTTTTTTTTGGCATGTCAGTAAGGATTTATATCATAAACTTTATAAAATTGTATGCATGTGAAAATGTCTCCTATTTGTAAGTTTGTATATTATTTATTTGAAAGAGTTTAGTTACAAATTTTAGTATAGTTTCATGTTTTACTGCAACCTATTTTTTTTACATTATCTTTCTTCATTTAACGCAATAAAATCCACCATTTTATAAATCAAAGTATTGACTATAAAATAACACCATTAAAAACGCCAAAACCTGCGTCAAAATAATACCAGCAATGCCATAGTAGAGTCAAAATTCGAAAATAACACAAACAACGTCAAAGCACAAACAATGCCAAAGCAACGAGAGAGAAATTCCCCTAAGAACTTAATGGTTTACTTGTTATTCTCTTAACTGATTTCCATACGGTTGTTTGAAGACGCCTAATTTGAACATTTTATAACTACTGCGAATTATGTATTATGTATATATCATATTCATATAATTTGAAAACGACTCATCATTTTTGTCAAATATTTCTTAAGCAATAAAATGTAAAACAGATAAGAACAAAATACACAAATTGACTGCCAGAGTAACTTCCCTTGTTATTGTATATATTTGTACGATGGCCGAAGGCGGCCAGGCACTTTTGAAGCATTTATACTTCGTTTGTGTACCACGGAACACTTTTGTGGGGTACACAAACGAAGCATTTATACTTCGTTTGTGTACCACGGTACACTTTTGTGTGGTACACAATCGAAGCATTTATACTTCGTTTCTGTACCGTTAGCCGAAAGCGGCCGGATATATTTGAAGCATTTATGTTTCGTTTGTGCCCCGTTATCCGAAAGCGGCCGGACATATTTGAAGTATTTATACTTCGTTTGTGTACCACGGTACACTTTTGTGTGATACACAATCGAAGCATTTATTATTCGTTTCTGTACCGTTAGCCGAAAGCGGACGGACATATTTGAAGTATTTATACTTCGTTTCTGTACCACGGTACACTTTTGTGGTACACAAACGAAGTATAAATGCTTCGTTTCTGTACCGCGTTATACTTTTGTGGTACATAAACGAAGCATTTATACTTCGCTTGTGTACCACGGTACACTATTGTGTGACCGAGAGTGGCCACTGATAGAAAATGACCCTGAGCTATTAATTTTCCGATTAAAACATAACGGGTCGCTGCCGTGGAATGTTGAGGTCTGTCGTAACTCTTCTGTGGAGGGCTCATACAGGATACGTATTGTTTATTAAAAAAAATATAAATATTTGTTAAGATAAAAAATATGTTAATTATCATGTGAAATATATGATGCATAAGGAGATTAAAAGAGATATGCATTTGTCGTTTAAATTTGTTATATATACCGGTACGTGACATTAGGCTATTTTGCTTGATGATTTACTTGACGGCTACCACAGCCTCTTCCACCCCCAAATGGGCCCATGTTTGGGTTAAAAAATATCAAGAGCGTAAGCGTTGGTTTCATATCCTATTAATTACTGCGATAACCTTTCGAATGATGAACATTTCAAACGCTGGCGAGGTCAATAGGCCAATGCCCGTTTAAAAGTGTACGATGGTACAGAAACGAAGTATAAATGCTTCAAATGTGCCTGGCCGCCTTCGGCCATTGTATATTTGCATTGTAATCAGTTTAAGTCAGGTTACATGAAGGAGCATTGTTATCTTACACGCATTAAGAGTATCTCTCACGATTGGCTAAGAGAGAAAAAGTTTTCCGAAATAAGCCTTAAGGTGAATCTACAGTAATGAAAGGGGAAAATGGAGACAACGTTAAACTCCAAGTACTTGATCATGAGCATGTGAACATTTCACAATTCCGGTCAAGCGTGTTTTCCCTATAGGTCTGTCCTTTGTAAACACGCCCCGAGATATTGACTCCAACGGACCGTTCAGAATTATACAAAGTACACTGCGGGTACTTCATCTCTACGCTTTATACAGGTTTACAATTGCCAGCAGTGACCCTATCCATAACGTTAAGTGTAAACACTGACTGCGGACGATACGATCAGCGAAATGGTAGACTTAAAACATAAAATAAATTTGTTTCGTGATTGAAAAATAGTTAATCTTGCGGTGTGTTTAATGTCTTTCCCCATTTCTACTATAGTTTTACTGTATGTGTTCTATTTCTACAGTTTGAAAAAAAAGATCTCATGCGAAATCAAGAAAATGGTTCCGATAAAAACTAGTTAAAGGCACATGAGTGATTTTCTCCGGGTTAGAAAACCAGCAATAACATGACAAGAAAATAGCAATAAGATGACAAGCAAACAACAATAGCATGAGAAGCAAACAATAAATCACAGGACAACCAAAAAACAAGCACACAGAGCAGGCAAACACAAAAGGTAACCATCGCTAGTAAAAACAATTACAGAACAAACACACAGCAGTACATGTAACAAAGCAAGCAAAAGGTAATACTATAAGCCAACAAAAAAATACAGACTAGTTAAAAACAAAAACAGGGCAAGCATACAACAACAACAACAACAGGCAAGCAAATAAGAATAACAGGACAAGCAAACACAATAACAGGACAAGCAAACACAATAACAGGACAAGCAAACAACAACAATAACATGACAAGAAAACAACAACAACAACATAACCAACATACAACAATAACAGGAAAAACAAAAAAACAATAACAGGAAAAGCAATCAACAATTTAATGACAAGCAAACAAAATTAACAGGACTTAATAAACAACAATAAAAGGACAAGAAAATAACAACAACAATAGTACAAGCAATCAACAATAACATGACAAGCAATCAACAATAACAGGATCAGAGATAAAAAATAACAGGACAAGCAAACAACAATAACAGGACAACCAATCAACAATAACAGGACAATCAAACAACAACAGGACAAGCAAACAACAACAACAGGATCAGAGATAAAAAAATAACAAGACAAGCAAACAACAACAACAACAGGACAAGCAAACAACAACAACAGGACAACCAATCAACAATAACAGGACAAGCAAACAACAATAACAGGACAACCAATCAACAATAACAGGACAATCAAACAAAAACAACAGGACAAGCAAACAATAACAACAGGACAACCAATCAACAATAACAGCACAATCAAACAACAACAACAGGATCAGAGATAAAAAAAAAAACAAAACAAGCAAACAACAACAACAGGACAAGCAAACAACAATAACAGGATCAGAGATAAAAAAAAATAACAACACAAGCAAACAACAACAACAGGACAAGCAAACAACAATAACAGGACAACCAATCAACAACAACAGGACAATCAATGAACAATAACAGGACAAGCAAACAACAATAACAGGACAAGCAAACAATAATAACAGGACAAGAAAGCAATAATAACAGGACAAGCAAACAATAATAACTGGACAAGCAAACACGATAGCAGGACAAAAAGATGCCAAATTATTTTATTTGATAGCTACACAGGCTTACCGTAAAAAACTTGTTTTATATTTTTGTCATTCGTTTTATTTATAACTAAATATGCTCGTAAATATGTACATGGTCTGTACGTGCATTAGGTCCAAGTATATACTTGACCCCAGAGTGTTAGTTTAACATAAATATACATGTCTATTTATAGTACCTGTCTCCTTCTGGAAACTCAAATATTTGTGTATGCATATATCCTCGTGTCCTGAAGGTTTTATATGCACGGTTTGCGTCTATTTTATCATGGTTTTTTTTAAAAACCTGTTAAATGAACAGACGTTTGACACGTCATTAAACTATTTGAATAATTGATTATTGACGGGATACGGAAACACCCCTATAAAGTGACTTGAAAACCCCCCACTGTATCTTGCAAAGTGAACTAAACGGCGCGCGTCAAAGCAATATCTACAGTTAAAAAAAACCGACAATCACTAGTATACCGGTATTGTCGACTTTGATGCAGGCTCATTACAATGTCTCAACTGTATTAAAGTATGTAAGAAGTGCTAGCACAATGTACCCGTGTGTAATCCGGTGAAAACTGCTGCTAGTTAAGCGTAAATATAACGAAGAGCCTCAAGTGTCAACAGGTATGAGTGAAAGGGAACGTTATACCAACAGAATCACTCAAAATGTTATTGTGAGAATATTTATAAAAAAATGACAATATTACCATATCAATACCGAATCGTGACCTGAGTTGTCGCTCATGTATAGAGAAATGCAGGTACATTTACCTGTACGGAGGAAGAGAAAACGTTTGACAAGGGGACAAAAAGTAGCAAAATAAATTAAAATTTGAGAGTTAATTAAAGATTGATTTCGAAATTTGGTTTCAAGATGATTCATTTATATATACTTTAAACATATATTTAAAAACATAGATTATACTTATGCATGTCTACAGCCAAAGTGCTGACTGATTCTAGATATTTCATTGTTCGGATGCTTGATAATCGGAGAAACGACAATTCCACGAACAATCGAATGTGTTACACACGATTGTACGGACGCTCACGATCAATCAGCTGTTTACTCGATAAAACGGATACTGGCTATTCTGGTATTATTGTCGTTCGGTAAGACGGTTCACATAAAGCGTCCACTACACAACAGTATTGAAAATGATCTTGGAAAGAATTGTAGTGAAATACACTGTATATGTGTACTTAATACCTACAATATGTAATTAAAAAGTGGTGTAAATTAAATAATATACCTACCATTGCGTCATAGTCAAGGAAATTAGCAAAGAACCCGGTGATTGTACCCCCGAAATGGTTAAACCAAACGGTCCCTTGGTACATATCCCCTCCATCCAGGAGAATAGTGTTCGGAACGGACGCTCGGAACTCCTTGATCTTTGTCCTCAGACGGACGAGCCCTCCGTAACAGTCATCGCTTGAACAACTTCCGCTGTATTTGTTGGTTTCTTCATAACGTGCATGGATGTCGTTTGTGTGAAGTACCGTCAATTCGAACGCGGACGATAGACAGATATTGATGAGCAGACAGACTAACATGTGCTGAGGACGAACAGACACAAGACACTTGACTCCCAACATGATGTTTAGCATTTTCTCAGTTCGCAAAACAGTCAATACAAAGATAGGATTTTCTCACAGTATTGACACTAGCAGCACCAGTGACAATGTTTACTCAGTCAGACTAAACTCATTGAAGAGTAAACAAGATATTGTATTTTTGAAATCCTTTGAAAACATATAGCACGAAATATAACCTACTAAATCCGGATGAATCGCATTGTCAGCCGTAGAGTACCGATTTGTAGGTATATATTCTGTGAACGTTTGTACCGTATCACTTGAACGTAAAACACATTCCAGTTTATGAAGACGCTTTCTGTACGAATAACATTAACTTGACAGGTGACACGCCTTCCGGTAAAAACCCGTTACCTGTGTGTAGAACGGTTAAATGTCCACTGCCCCAGTTATAACAACCCGCACACAGGTATAACAGTGACAATGTTTCAAGGAAATCAGGTGTTTTCCGCCAGTCTTTGACTACGAGGTCACTTATAATTAACTGATTTGATGTGATCGTACGCCGCCCTTAAGAGATTTTCTCCGTACATCAGCTTTAAATGTATGAGTGGACCAGGTACATGTTTGGACCAGGTAACATACATTTGATTTGTAGCTTACACAGGTAAAATCACAGGTAAATCAACTCGGTTTAGTATTGGGTTAATGTCATTAATGGTCATCGTTTTCTCCGACCAACTCTCCCGAAAGAGCGGGCATTCAGAACACGCCTCCTTGTTTGTGTAACAGGCCCCAGGGATATAAGTTTGAAATCTAAATAGATCTAAAAGACCACTAAGAACAAACGGATTTACAATTGCCCCGTGGAGGGCTGTATCACCATACGTCAATTCAGGTTCTTCAAGAACTTGACGTCAATCAAACTACTATATATAGTGGCACATAGAAGTAAACAAGTGTTAAAGTTTTACCTTTTGCATGTTTTACCTGGATTTCTCACCTGTGCACCAGTGCTGTCTAACTGATCTGTTTCAATCACGGAGTTCTGTGGTTTCAATTTAGCTGATGATGCAATGCAATTAAGATATTCCAAAGATGCCTAGATTTACTATATTATGTACATATGTATGTTAATATACCATTAATGAAATTATTATATTATTAAATAATCTTGTATGATGTATTCATATTATTAAAATATCAGAAGTTGTCTTCTAGATCGAGGCGCTGTATAGGACACGCTCGTGTGGTATAGGACTCACTGAATTTTTTTTATATATAGTATTAAGTTCTACAACGATACAGGATTGCTACTGACAGGTATAAAAATGGCAATGAGTTGGTAGTATGATTCAGTGCACATGGCTGACACGAATAGAATAATATAGCGAGTTATATTGTGATAAAGGTTCTAATAATATTATTAATTTTATTATCGTTCTCAACTCCGTGGGGAGCATACAGCCAGTGCTGCCATTTCGGCACTCATAGCTAGCACTCAACAATTCAAGCACTGCCCAACCACGTACTCATGCACAGCTGAATAGGCTGGAACAAGCGGAGTTAAGTATTTTGTATGTTAAATGATTAAACACAGTACCGTATACGTAACGAGATTCGAACCCGCGGCTCTTCGGTCACGAGTATTGCGTCCTTCCACTAGACTACCGTGCCTCTAGTGTGATAAAGGACACAGACGCGTATAGTATATATATTGTTCAGATCTAGCAGGAGGAGAAAAGTGTATTACCCTGTGTTTTCAGAGTTTGTCGTGAGAACATGTTTTTCATCGCGAGCACGTGGATAATATCTAGAGTCCACCACACAGTGTGATTAAATGTGAATATATACTACTATAACTTATATATTTTCTCCATTCAGAAAAAGTCAACTTAATTATTATCATTTTTTCTAATTTACTTCTAGGCTCAATAAGCATCGATCGCGAGATTCTCGGTCCATGAATTGATAAACGTAAACAAATAGAGGATTTGCGCGGAGGAATACCGTGAACCTGCAAATTAACATTTTCAAACAATCTTATCGTCATTGGCTTCACCACATGCTAATTTACGCTTTAATGTTGTATATCCTCATACTATATTTTCTTAACTATATATTGATTTATGATATTCTATTATATTATAAGACCATGTTCTTACGCGGATAATCTTTGTGTGGATACAGTACTATTTACGTTTCAAGACGTCACCTCGCGCGAGCAGACCCCTTTTTTTTGACAAAATAAGTTTTCAAATGGGAAAACTCACTCTTAAGTTTTTTCTCAAGCTGTTTTCAAGTCTTTTCCAACGTCATCTTGAATATTCTCATACTGACAACCCATGGTAATGGATTTATCATACGACATGTACAGGTAGGTGGTATAAAGTGGTATATATATAATAAAGAATATTATATTCGTTATTTGGCGTATTTTAAGCTACCAACTTTTTAACTTTCTTTTAATTTATTCCATAATTTATTCCATCGTGTGACATAAATATAATTAATATCCTGGAACTATTTTGTGTGAATTGTTTCTCCTTATTTTGTGTCAATTTAAATAAGTTCTATTCACGAAGCTGTTTCTTTGAAGTCGACATGTATAATTCGTTTGAACAATTGTTGTCAGATAAATTTATGCATCGTATACAATTTACACTTTTCACTTAATTCTTTTACGTAACGGGATTAACTAGTATTACCAGATCGGACACTGCTATCAAAATCAGGCAAAGGACAGCTAAATTGGCTTACCTGGTCGGGTACGGCTTTGGTCTGAAAGGCCGATTGCTATGAATGGCAAAAGTCACTCAAAAACTATTTACTTAATTGCCATTGTGTAATGTACTTAGAGCATGATTATGATTTGTAACTCTTTTTAGGACCTTGGGCTCATTCCCCGAATACCAACTCTGGAAAATTCGAAGGAATGTGTTTATATAGGAAATCCTTTGAAGTTTAGTTATAGCCTGTTTCAACTAAGAATCATCATCATCACACTTTATTTGCTCCAAAAAGGAGATATTTGAGTACAAGCAAAAAAAAGCAAAAATTACATAAAGGACAGAAAATGCCGCGGTAGGGCGCAGCTAAAGAACTGTGTCCTCGCGAATGCGAGTAAAAGTCTTAGTCATGGTTTCTTAAATCATTCCATTCACTTGAGTTCGCGAAGCGCGCACGACAAAGTATGCTGCATGCATCAGAAACAGTTTTTGAGTTGTATCATCCTGAAATTGGGGACCTGTTTTTGCACCTAATAAATTGTGAACAAAGGTAGCAGTGTCATGTTGATCAATGTAATTGAACACATTCAATCCAAACTTATGCAGGATCATCTGAAGAAAATGAGCCCGGAGTTCGCTGGTGTACTCACAGGTACAGCAATAGTGAGATATGACGTCACAGAAATGCTGGGAACACTTGGAGCAAACGTTCTGGTCAGGTGGCGAAGGCTTTGCCAATAATCTGCACAATGAATAAATTTCTTCTATGTCTCTGTTAGATTTTGCTGCGCGCAACATAATGTACGGGTTGTAGGAGGAGTGACAGTTCCTAAATATATCAAAATCACGGTTGTTTCTTAGTCGATCTTTTAGGGTCAGGTTTTCTGTAGCCATTATGGAATTTCTCACTATTCCCTTCCACTGAAGCTTAGAGGGGAACGTGTAGTTACGAAGGTGTGCAACCAAGTAAGACGACAGGTTATATTTGTAGATTATCTGCACAATATCCGGAACAAACCCTCTTTCACGAACACTTCCAACATTTTCCGTTTGCAAATGAAGGAATGAATATAGTCTTCTTGTGAAGATCTGCTTAGTTAAGAGAGACTGCTCCATCAGAACAAGCTTTCCCAGAAATATTAGCTTCCTCTTATCAATAGCTGCAGAAATTCTAATCAAACCAAGTATAGGCTCAACAATATCTGACCTGGCACGACGATCAGCTCCAAGAATGACCTTAGCAGCGTAATGTTGAAAGCGACTAAGTTTCGCGAGGTCGGTATTACCGAGTTGAACCCAGTGCTCACATCCATATAGAATTGAAGGTAGTATCACTTTCTTATAAAGACTGATTTTTACTAAAGGATTGATATCACATGCTGAGGGACAAAGCCCTATGATAGAATGTAGCGTCTTTCTCCCTTTGTCACACGCAGCCTGGATGCGTTCGGCGTTAGACATTTGTGAGCTTACAATAGTTCCTAGATGAACTTGAGAGGAGGTGGTCTCAATAGTGACAGGTCCAAGCATCCAACTAGCATCAGGCTGTCTTGGGATGTAATTTCCAATAACAACAGTTTTACACTTTGAGTGATTAAATACGAATTTCCACTCACGACTGTATTCATAGCAAATGTTCAGAAGCTTTTGAAGTGAAAGCGGGGAAGTTGTGATCAAGGATATGTCGTCGGCTAACGTCGGATTTCCAGTTAATAAGCATTGGACTTTAGCACCAAGCTTACTATTCTCTAACTTGCAAAGAAGGGAATCGATGAATGTTTGGTATAGAAATGTCGACAGTACTCCTCCTTGTCGAACCCCTGACTCAACAGGAAACCAAGGTGACGTCGTTCCCTGCCACGTCACAGCGCTCACCATATCGGTGTAAGACTCGCGAATACACTGGAAGAGTTGTCCATTGACTCCAAGATCTTTTACTTTTGCCATTAGCCCTCCGTGCCAAACAGTGTCGAAGGCCTTTTTAATATCGAGAAAGGCTAAATAAACGGTGCTGTTTAACTCAAGGTTATGGTAAATCGTCTCCTGGAGAGAGAAAGACGCCGTCGTACATCCTAAAGATTTGCGGAAACCGTTCTGTTGTGGATTCGGGAAGGGAAGGACTGAAGTCGCCAGGGAGGCCTGTATCCGATTGCTGATGACCTTTTCAAATAATTTGTAGGAACAACATAACAGGGAAATTGGTCGATAATTAGCGGGATCACACCGAGACTTGTTACCACCTTTGTGAATAGGAAGAATTAAACCTCTTTTCCATATACCAGGTACGTGAGCAAGTTCGATACATTTGGTGTACAGCTTTTGTAAACATAGTATCAGGGTTCGTCCTCCATAACGTAGATGTTCATTGCGAACACCATCGGTTCCGGGTGCTTTATTTAACTTAAGTTTTCTTAGGGCACATTCAATTTCATTGACACGATTTTCCGATTTAGTTCATCCGTATCAAAAACAGACATGGGGTCAGTTGTAATTTCACAATTTATCAAGTCCGATGCATCAGGTTCACATTTAAAAACGTTCCGAATACCAACTCTGGAAAATTCGAAGGAATGTGTTTATATAGTAAATCCTTTGAAGTTTAGTTATAGCCTGTTTCAACTAAGAATGTCAACTCATTTTGTAGATATGATACTAAAGTCAATAATAAAATGGATAGAAAGTTTTTATTCATACATATAATAACTGTAATACACATTTAATACAGCACTAAGTAAAAGAAAATAATCATTAAATATTGATATTTACATTATATAAAAAGGAGAGTTTCCTTTTATGAAAAACAAAATTCCTTAATACAAGCAACATTGATACTAATGTCAGCAATAAAATAAAGTTTCTATTCATACATATAACAGTAATACACAGTTTAAAACCGCACTAAAGGATAATCATTAAGTTTCTAGCACAAATCACATTCTCTATATATATCACTTAAGTCTCTAGCACAAAACACTCTATCCCAGATGCAGAAGCTGTGATGCTGAATCGGCGTAGGTCATCAGGTCGATAGTTCCAGTCTGATAACGGTCTTTCAGGGTGTCCAGGCGTCTGTCAATGTTGGCGTATCTCTTCTTTGGGGGTTGAGTAGTGCCTCCTGCATCTCTCTGGATCCGGCTGATGTCA